GGCTCACGCTTTAAGATGATTTTTAAAATATTTGGACTTTTGAAGTACAACATGAGATAAATGAAAATGAAGTCATAATAAAATGAGAAAAAATAAAAACACTGTGATTAAAGTCAAAGTCAAACCAAGTCTTACAGATACAACTTTACTCTTGTCATAAAAAAAATACAAGAATGAAGTCATAATCGACGTCATCATTAAGTGGGAGCTGGTTAACGCTGTTCCAGTGACACCCTCAACGTTATAGAGGAATGATTGAACCCATTCTTCACTGGGCCTGTGCCTGTCTGTGCTCTGTCCCAGCCTGAGAAGGACGAGCTGGGGGAAATCGTAAGATAAAGTTTGCTCAGACCTTGTATTGACCCAGTTGCTGTTGGAGACGCCTTTACTTTAGTGGTCTCCGGGGTCCTATGTCAAGGTTTTCTCTGCTTAGCGACCCCTGCACCAGAAAACGTACAAACTCCTACTAAGTTGCTCCGGGAGAACTGTAGATTTCTCCATTGTGAGATCAATAAAGTTTATCTTAGACACAATCCTGGTCAAAAGTAAAGGCACCTTGCTGACCGCTATGCAAAAATAACAATGCACCTTTGAATCTTTGGAGTCTGTTTTGGACATTGAAGATCCCCGACATGCCTCAGTCCTGGTCTCCTCTACAGATTGTACATCTTTGGGAGTGGATCTCTCCTTCAGAGCGGTTCTCTCTGAGGTTTCCCTTTTGCCCACAGGATTTGGAGAGTCTAAGGACAGGGGGACATTAGCTACTGTATGTACCTAAATCCTGTAAACATTGACTATGGGTTTTCAATTGACGTCTTTCCAATCCACTGTTTATAGAATCCACTTATCTTCAACTGGAGTACTCTCTTAATGCACTCAGGGTTTCAATCTAAAATCTCTCATTTTAAATCCATGTGTATTTCAGTGCATGGAGATACTCATTGGAACAGATCAGAAGATTTAAAAAACTATTTCGAACCTAGAATTGAGAAAATAAACTATTGAAGGAGTACGTGGAGGAGAGAGAGTGATGCCTTCAGCACAGAGGGAGTAGTGGGAGAGAGGTGTAGGGTCAGAGAATGTTTGGGCCTGTTCTCAATTGCTTTTGTTTTGTTTTTTCACCCTTGGGTTCCGAATCATCTCTTTTTTGAACAGGTGAAGGGGGTTTGGGAACTTTATCTGCATTTGCTTCATCAAACCCATTTTCAAAACTGTTTTATTCTGGTTGTTTTGTACATGTTTTTTTTTTAATAAGCATTTTGATTGAGCAGTTTGACTTTCTAAGCAGCTATTGGCTAATCCATCATCTTGTGAAGTCTTAAATGTCAACATGCTTTTGAGATTTTAGCTTGCATTAAAACGGATTTGGTTTGAGCTAAAATACTTAATTCAAATACTTATGTATACCTAATATGTTGGACCTTTTAGTTTGGTTTGTGCGTTTCCTCAAGCATTTGCTGAATCACTTTTTGAGTATCTACTTGCTTGGAACTGAAATCTACCTCATTGGGGCTTCTCTATCACTTTGTTTTGGCACTTTACCAAATGGGTGAGATGCAGTTTGATAGTTAAAGGCCTATGATAAAAACTAGGCGTTAGAAAAAAACCAAAACATAACCTTTTTTGTGTGTTATTTGTGATATACACCTTAGACAATAATTTAAAAAAAGATTATGTTGCTGTCTTCAAGGATCGAACATGAAAGGGTTACCATATAATTGCATTGGATGTTATTAAAAACGTTCAAAATAGAAAATAACTCATAGTAACCACCCAAGTCGCAATAAAAGGCCTCAAATAAAACCACGCAGCAGAGTGTTATAGTAATCCTATGACGTTGACAATTACTCAAAACCTGACTTCAACAGCTTTTTACAAGCCATGACATATTCCCCGTGGCCCTCCGCTGCGCTCTGATCTCCCCTGACCCTGGGCTCCTTTGAACGCCACACCAGCTCTTTCATTGGAGCTTTCGGGCCCGCAGACTTTGAGCCTTACATCACCCGAGTCCTCGCGATTCAGTTTCACCTGAAGTCATTTGTTTTCGCACGCTTTATTAAGAGGCTCAGAAGTGTTCGTCGTGCCATCATAAAACAAACAGCCCATGTTCCACGGGGGCGGCGGCGCGTTCGGGTGCGCACTGGGAAAATGTGACTGCGGCCGCGTTCCACCTTTTATCTGCTGCGGTGAGGAAAAAGGCGAAGACAAGATGACGAGATGTAATGCGAGAGGCTTTGTAGGTGCGTATCTCACATGAGGTGTTGGGACTTACAGTTGGATCTGGTTCAAAGACTGGTCATGGCACGAATAAGGCCTCCACAGGGTTTACATGGAAGTAAGCTTTTTAATTACAGTTAAAACTTTACGTTCATGTTACCAAGACAACTGGTGTTTGCATCACAACAGTTCATCTACCGTATGTCCCCCACAAACAAAAATATGTCACTTATTTTCCATGGGTGTGTTTAGGTATGGAACTCTCAGTCCTCTACTAATGCAGTTTAGGGGACATAAAATACTTCTCTCACGTCAATTGACCTGAAAATTAAAGTGATTGTCTGGAGTTTGTCCAAAAATAAGAGGTACATGATTTGGAAAAAAAACGACCCAGGCTCCCTCCCCCTTCCTTTCTGATTGGTCTACGCCTACGTTTCTGTAACAATCAATAGCGCATTTAAATGTTAATCAGAGAACACATTATACATATACATTATTAATACACATGCACAGAGGTTTTCTGAATTATGCACAACAATGCACAAAAAAAGCGATCGTGGTAAACCCGGAAGTAGCAATTATTATTAATTGAACATTATAGGACACATCTGCAGAGGATCTGATAATGGATATAGGTTCAGTTTATAAATGATTATGGATATAGGTTCAGTATATAAATGATTATGGATATAGGTTCAGTATATAAATGATTATGGATATAGGTTCAGTTTATAAATGGGTAACTCTTTGTTCAGTTTTCATGTAGTTCCAGAGCCTAATGGAGGTTTGATTCTGAGGCTCAGCGAAAACAAACAACTGAGCATGAGCAGCGATGATTGACAGCCCTTGGCATCACTTGATAGGTTAAAGTGGACGGCATCGTGGATTTTGAGCTATAGCTAAGAGAATTAATAAAATGACTTATTTTATATCAACATTTAAGGCCAGGAGGTCAATTTAACACATTTCCTAAAATTTGTAATTCATTTAGAGTTACAGACTATCACTTTAACTTAGAGTCAGAATTCAAACTGTTTAAAAACTCAATATGTAAAACTCAGTCATACACACAGCTAAGAAAAACAGTTTTCAGATTAGATTTACTAGAGATTAACAATGCTAGAGATAAGGCCTCCCGTACATCATCAGAGAGAATGCTCTAGGTTTTTTTGGGCATTCTCCGGAAACTCTGCCGGGCATACCCCCCCCCCCCCCCCCATGCGTAGTCCTGACTCTGGGCACGAGCAGGAGGCCAGTCCCTGTGCTCCTCAGAGTCCGAGTTGGTTCATACAGCACCAACATGTCACTGATATTCTTCAGTGCATGACCATGGAGAGACCAGTGGGGGCGGGTCTCGGCTCCAGAAGGTCCATAAGGGTGGACCCAGAAAAATAATTACCCAATGCTTTTGTATGGAGTCTTCTTTTCTCCCAAAAATGGCTTTACAGGATGGTCCAAATGTCTGCTCCTGGCCAAATGCAACGTTCCAGATGTGTCAATGCTGAGGAAGTATATTCTTTTTTGGACTAATCTAGTTTAGTTGCAGTGGACTTTAGAATGCACTCGTTAAATGAATGGGGCTAGTGCCGGCTAACGCATGGGTAAATGCATTTTTTCACATTTTCTTGCCCTGCGGCCATTTTGAAAAAGCCCCATAGAAGCCAAAAGTGGCTCATTAGTTTCAACGGCGGAGATAGGCGTGACTACGGCTGTTAATGTTTACAGTTAACGGGAGAGACTTGTCTATTCTTTGAGGTACAGGAAGCCAGTGCGAAGACCTGAGACCTGGACTAATGTGATCATCCTGGACTGAAGCTGCAGCATTTTGAATATACTGAATGTCGATGTTTATCTGTCCATCTGTTTGTCTCGATGGATATCTATTCCCTCTGGCGAAACGGTACACAGGCTAAAACAAGATCACTCATCCATCCACCCACTTTGCTCTGCTTTATCAGAGACCCAGACTTCTCGCTCCATGTCCAAGGCATTCCCAGGGCAGCTGAGGGAACAAGGAGCCATCCAGGACCAGGAAGCATCCAAAAAGAGATTCCTGTGCCCCCTCAGCAGCGACTCTACTCAGAGCTCCTCCTGCGTGACACAGTAAACCCTCACCCATCACTCAACTTTGCTTAGGCTTTGTCTTCACCAAAACGCCTGTGTGTATTGAACCCACATTACGCTTTACGTCAAAAGACCAGTATAACAAGATCACATGATCAGACAAGTCAAGGACAGTATCCATCTCTTAATGAAGGTAATATGAGCAGAGGCCTACGTTGTAAAAGCTGGTGACATGGCAGGTTTTGTTTGTCTGATGAAGGTTAGAGTCACCCGAAACGTCACATCGTGTGGTGATAATTAAAATGTCTTGGGAGCAAAAGCTGTGCAGAGTCATCTCTTCTATTTTCGACGCTATTTAGACTTAGATGTGTGCGTTAAACTCACTCTTGCTCTATCAGGTTTTGTTTGCTTGCCATGATGGAAAACCTATCTGGTCCCCAAAGTTTTGCAAAGCATTTATAAACTCAAAAAAGTGAAGGTATAAGCTTTGACTAGTGCAGACTTGATTATTCTTACCGCAAGCAATCTTCTTACCAGCCTCAAAACATAAATAAGAACAAAACCCCCACTTCATCAGAAATAAAGGCAAAAAGGTGACGTTGCATACGAAGATGAAGATTGTATGTTGTGGTCATTAATGTTACTAACAACAAACTAAATGTGTTTATGACCCAACAAAAAGATACTCCAGCTTTACAAATGGCGTCACCAGACTGAAATTACGGTACCAGGTGCATTGTCTCCACACCCCGAGACGCTCCGTCGCACAGGTATGACCTTCCCACACAGAGAACGGCGCGCTTCTTTGGAAATCCCTGACCCGGCTCCAGCACCACTGGACTGTAAACAGAAAATTCCCACTGCGTCTTATCAAATGGAAAATATCAACCTGCTTTGTTTTGTGCCTCAGCGCGCCGCCATTTTGTCCGAAACCGCCTGGTGAATGACGCGGTAAATCGCCCGTGTCCAGAACAGGTGCTTTGTGCGAGTCCAAAACGCTCAATTTGCTCTGCGCGCGCTATCAAGATGGGATTAAAGTTGTCGTCAGAGGTTTTGTACGGCGACGGCTGCCAAGACAAGCTGCAGAGATAGTCAACAAGGGAGTGGGGGAGAAGGGAGAGGGGGGGGGTGGCTTTTTTGAGAAGATCCAGCTGCGGCGGTGGGGCCCGTCACGTTCGCGCCGCGCTCGTGAGAAGGCGCAACGCTACAGTGGCAGCTCGGATCGCGATGGCTCCTCTGCATCACATCATTTCTCTTTTTTTTTTTTTTTCCCCCCAGTCGTTGTTGTGGCGAAGGCTTTCAGTAATGCTCGAGTGGAAACAGAACTCATTGTGATTGAGAGAGAGACTATAGCAGATGTTTGGTTAGAGATTCTGGATTGTTGTGGAAAAACTTAAAAAATGTGGACAGTAAGAGATAAGTGAAAGAAATACAAAAGTTTGGGTGATACTTACAACCTTCGAAATGCACAAAGTAAGAGTCCGTATGGCAGCTTGGGATAACACACTGATTAAGAGTTGATTAGTGTGTGAAAAAGTAAAAAAAAAATCATTAAATAGCGGGGCATGGAAAAGGCTTACATCCACTGTCTATGTATTTATTTATTTGTTTTCTGTGATACGTGTACTACTTGCCAGCGTTGCTTTTTTGCTCAAATGAAACAAATATATACCGGCTGTTTACCAACTTTATCTGTGCTGGAGCAAAGGCCTTTGATGTGACCATGTTTCTGCGAGTGCTGTATTAAAGGGGAAGAGTGCTGAGTGGTACGACAGGCCGGAAAACAGAAGCGAGCAAAGTTTTAACGTTTAAAGTCAGTGTCGAGATTTAAGCCGCTGGTGTCAAAGATTACATGTGCGGAACAGACAGAAGAAGGTCGTCTGTCGTTCTGTGATCTAGAGCCAGTGGGAGCGGATCCCCGTCAGCATGAGCCTCCTCCAGGTTACTCACTTTTCTCCACACTGTTTTTTTTTTTATTTTTTTAAAGCATTTCCTGAAGGGTCTAAGGACAGTGACGATCCAGGGTATTTAATGACATTTAATAACATATCCTCGCGTCAAAATGAACCGTCGGTGATTCAAAATAGAAAACTACACTGTTATAGCGTCTAAACCACAGGTGTCAAAGTCAAGGCCCGAGGGCCAGATCCGGCCCGCGAGACCATTTCCAGTGGCCCCTGAGATGATTTTAAATTCTACTTCATAGTGCTACGCCCCTTAGGCTCGCTTTGGGTATGACTCCAGAAGCACCAGCTTCCCGCCAGAGAGAACTCAATGCTCCAATCACTGTGCAGAACCTCCTATAAATAGCCCACAGCAGTCCATGCTCTTCACTTTGAACTCTGGCGCCATTGAGAGAAGTTCTACTCACCATTGAAGATCGCGATGTCTACTCCTCCTCGTCCGAGAACTCCTTCGCCATCCGGCGTCGGACGAAGACGGTGCGGTGGCTGCCGGACCAAGCTCCACCGCAAAGACCGGCACGAGTTCTGCTTCCTCTGCCTGGGAGTTCACCACCACCGGGAAGCGGCGACGTGTGCGGCGTGCCTTTCTCTCCCCGGGGAGGAGAGAGAGCGCCGCGCTGCTTATGCCACCTCCGCGGAGGCTCGCCCGGGTCCCTCCCAGGAGGAGGAACCTGAGGTTGAGTATGTCCCGCTCGACCTGCCTCCTGCACCCAGGGAGTGGGGAGACTGTGTTGTGGAGGAAGAGTTTGACGAGGACCGGGGTTCCTACGTCACTCTCGACGAGGAACAAGACCGCTTCCCTCTGGACCACATGCCCCGCCTCTTCGCCATGACAGCGGCCACCATGGAGACCCCCCTGCCTCCGCAACCCACCCAGAGAGAGAGCGACTTCACGTCGGTGGGTTCATCGCTTCCAGGGAGGAAGAGACGAGCTCCAACACTGTGTCCGCGGATGGATCCGGTTTTCCATTACGCGGCACGTGATTGGGCCAAACCCCTAGCAGCTAAGAAGCCTGCTCTGGGGTACGGCGCCTATTGCTCGGTCCAAGACTGGTCCTGGTCCAAAGGGGTCCCGGAAGTGGAGGACGCTGTCCGGCTCGCACTACTCCCGCAGTCCTCGGTGTGGCCCGGCAGCAGACCTCTCCTTCCCTCGGAGCGGGATAGGATGAGCATGGCTGTTCTGGATAGATGCTACGCTAACGCAGCACAGGTCGTTGCGTTAGCTAGCAATATGGCTCTTCTCACCGGGGCCCTCGATAGGTCTCTATCCACGGGTCAAGCTCTCACCGACGAGGACCTGGACCGGGCCAGAACCACCACGGCGGCCATACTCCGTATGATCCAGGCGCTGGCTATTGACGGTGGGCGATCCATGGCGTCCGCACAGGTCGGTGCTCGCCATCTGTGGCTGGGGCTCGCGGACATCAAGGAGACGGAGAAGAGGCAGCTCCTGGACCTCCCTATCTCCATGGATTCCCTCTTCGGTCCAGACATGAAGGGGCTCGTCGCGAGACTGGACGCTGCTGCCAAAGACTCCGCCATGCTGGCTCCTCATCTGCTCCCTCGCCGTGTGTCACAGCAGCAGCAGCAGCAGCAGCAGCAGCAGCAACAACAGCAGCAGCCTTATTGCGGCAGAGAGAGAGTGAGAGACCGGTCACCTCGGCGACGCTCAGCTCCGCCCCCTCCTGCTCCTTGCCCGGGCCGCTACACTCCGCAGAGACCACGGGGTTCAGAGCCTTACTCCGGTGGTTTCCGTGACCAACGCTCCCACCGCCGCCCTCCCTACAGTCGGGGAGTTCGGGGGGGGAAAAAGTTTTTCAATAAACGACAAGGTGCACCGTATTCTCGGTCTGAGCGTCATCTTTTTGCCATGCATGGTTTGTCATCTCAGGTAGAGGGCAGCATTGCATCACACACAGGTCTATCACCTTTGGTTACGTTGAGTCCACAGCGGCCGCATCCCTCCATACCACTTCCCACAGTGGCCAGTGTAGTGTCTGCTGGGTCAGGACCAGGTTTTGCGAGCCTCTCTCCCTTTTCTCAGCGTCTCCGGGGTAAATCCAGCACTTCATTCCCCAGGGGTGGTAATGAAAGTCTAGGTCAGGTTTTTCCCTCCGTCTCCGGGGTTCCCTCTGTTAGTGGTGTTACGCATACAGAGCAGGACGCTCCCACACACGTCTGCCCTTCAGCTCAGGCTGCTGTCATTTCATCCTCTGGGCGGGGAGTGAAACGCAGATTACCGCTGTCTATAAGTGAGTCAGGGGGCCTGGTCCCAACCTCCTCACACAGCACATCTCATGAGGTGTTTCGGCCCTTTCGATGCCCCCCCCTCTCCGCTGGGAGCGCAGGGAGAGTGGGGGGCTATTACACCAGGTGCTCCGGGTCCTCTCCTTCCCCTCACAGAGCAGTTTCGGGTCTGGGAAGAGCTCGGTCTACTGTCAGACCCCTGGTTAAAGAAAACGATGCGCAGGGGCTACGCTCTGCAGTTCGCACGGAGACCACCGCCGTTCCAGGGCATTCGTGCGGTGCGCCCTACAGATCGGGAGACAGAAGAGGCGCTCCAAATGGAGGTCGCCTCCCTGTTACGCAGAGGCGCCGCGGTCCTGGTGGACCCTCGGGACGCCTCCAGAGGCCTGTACTCCCCGTATTTCCTGGTCCCCAAGAAATCAGGGGGGGTGCGCCCTATATTGGATCTGCGCACTCTGAACCAGTGCATTTCCAAACGGCCCTTTCGGATGCTTTCCACAAAACATCTGTTAGAGTGCGTCAGGCCCGGGGACTGGATGTCAACCATAGACCTGACGGACGCTTACTTCCACGTTGCCATAGTACCGGAGCACAGACGCTTCCTGCGCTTCACCGTGGGAGGGAAGTGTTACGAGTACTGTCGCCTCCCCTTCGGTTACGCTCTGGCCCCACGCACCTTCTCCAAGTGCGTGGAGGCGGCGCTGGAACCACTCAGACGCGCAGGGATCAGAATCCTGACATATATAGACGACTGGCTGATTCTGGCCCCGTCTCTGGAGCAGGCCACCATTCACACGCACTGGGTCCTGTCACACGTGCAGCGCCTAGGCTTTGTGGTGAACAGGGAAAAGAGCAATCTGCAACCCGCACAGCGCTTAGTCTATCTAGGTCTACAGCTAGACTCGGTGGAGTTTCGGGCAGCGCTCTCCCAGGACAGACGCTCGAGCATCACGCGTCTAGCTCAGGAAGCGCTGACCTCTCCCACAGTGACCGCCCGACGAATACGGTCTCTATTGGGGATGATGGCATCAGCTCATGCAGTGGTGCGGCTAGGTCTCCTTCACTTGAGACGTTTCCAGAGGTGGTTCTCCCGTCTCCGACTACATCCCACAAGAGACGGGGGCAGAAGGCTCATTGTTCCTCCAGGAGTGGCCGAGGACCTGAGCTACTGGCTCACGCCCGGTCTGATGCTGGAAGGAGTTCCCCTGGTAGGTGCCGTGGCACACGTGGAGGTGTTCACGGACGCGTCTCTGGAGGGATGGGGGGGGGTTCTGCACCAGAGCTCTGTGGGGGGCGCCTGGTCAGGCCCTCTTCGTCACATCAATCTGCTGGAGATGGAGGCGGTTCACAGGGTGCTTCTGCATTTCGCTCCACAACTAGCGGGGAGACACGTGATGGTGCGTTCAGACAACACCACAGTGGTGGCGTATCTGAACCGGCAGGGGGGCACGAGGTCCCCAGCCCTCCACCGACTGGCAGCGACCATTCTGATCTGGGCCGCAGGGCATCTGCAGTCTCTGAGAGCGCGTCATGTTCCGGGAGACAGGAACACAGGGGCGGACATAATGTCACGGGGAGGCCCTCTCGAGGACGAGTGGGGCCTCGACCCGCAGATGGCAGCGGAGGTCTGGCAGAGGTTTGGTCGGCCTGTGGTCGACCTGTTCGCCAGTGCAGACAACGCGCAATGCCCGCTCTGGTTCGCATTGAGACCCACGGACAATCCGCCTCTAGGGGTGGATGCCTTGGCTCATTATCCGTGGCCAGGGGGCCTGTTGTATGCCTTCCCCCCCCCCGTCTCCTACCGATCCTACTGAGGAGGATCGAGCAGGAAGAGCGGGAGGTAATCCTGGTCGCCCCAGACCGACCACAGGCCCGTTGGTTCCCGTTCCTGACCAACATGTCTGTGATGGACCCGTGGCCTCTCCCGGACGTGCCAGGGGGCCTGGTCCAGGGAGGGGGGACGCTTCGCTCCCGCCCAGTCCTGGGCCACAGGCTCTGGGTTTGGAAGCTGAGAGGCAGAACCTAGTCCGACTAGGCCTCCCCCGGGCGGTGGTGGATACCATCCAAGGGGCGAGGGCACCTTCCACCGTGAGGGCTTACGGGTGCCGGTGGAAGCTTTTCAAAGACTGGTGCGCGGCCCACTCGTGGGACCCCAGGTCTTGCCCTCTAGAGGGCGTCCTGGGATTCCTGCAGGACCTTTTGGATAAGGGCAGGGCCGCTAGTACCTTGGCTGTGTCCGCTTCGGCCATTGCCTCTGGTCACAAAGGGTTCGGGGGGTTTTCAGCCCGCTCCCACCCGTTAATCAAACGCTTCCTTCGGGGGGCCTACAGGAAGAGGCCGGTCCTTAGACGAACACCTCCGATCTGGGACCTCAAGGTGGTTTTGAAAGGGCTGTCAGGGCCTCCTTTCGAACCCCTGACCCGTGCCAGCCCAGAATGCGTGGCCTTCAAGACCGCACTCTTATTGGCTCTGGTATCAACCAAGAGGGCGGGAGAACTGTGCGCTCTTTCCATCAGCCCGGCCTGCCTGTCCTTTGGTCCAGGGGATGGGTTGGTGGAGTTGTGGCCCAACCCGGCCTTTCTCCCCAAGGTCGTTTCCTCAACCTTCAGGTCCAGGGTCATACGGATCAGACCTTTTCACCCTCCGCCTCACGCCTCGCAGGAGGATGAGCAAAGACACCTGTTGTGCCCTATCAGGATGCTGAGGCATTACCTGGAGGTCACGTCCTCTTTCAGGCGCACGGATCAGCTGTTCGTGTGCTTGGGGCCTAAAAACAGAGGCGCCCCGTTATCCTCCCAGCGGCTGGCCCACTGGGTGTCCCGGGCGATTCGCTCGGCGTATCAGGCCCAGGGGATGGTGCCCCCGGTGGGGTTCCGAGCGCACTCCACTCGGGGCGTGGCGGCCTCCACAGCTCTGCTACGAGGGGCCTCGGTGGAGGAGGTATGCCAGGCTGCGTCCTGGGCTTCGTCTTCCACCTTTGCTCTGTCTTACCTGGTGGATGTTTCAGAGCGGTCTGTTGCTCACTCCATCCTGAGCTCTGGGACTGATGCGACCGTGTCTGGCTCTCTCTGAGGCTTCTGCGGTCTATGTTGTCTGGAGCGGCCGGCCCCTCCTGGAGCTCTTGATAGAGGCGTCCTGGGCTCAGCCTTCTCCTTCTTCCTTCGCGGCTTTGTGCAGTCCTCAGGTGCTCTTGGTAGAGGCGGCCTGGGACTGCTCCTTGTTCCCCTACGGGGGCGCGCGCGGTGTTCCTCAGGAGCTCTTGATAGAGGCGTCCTGGGAAGTGACCTTCGCCCTTGGGCGTTTGGTCAGAGACTTGGCTGTTCCTGGAACGGCCTCCCTCTTGGATTCTGTTAGTGCTTCGGGCGTCCTTGATAGGAGCGGCCCTACCACTGCTTCACCTTTGAGCTTATCCTTGGGCGTCCTTGATAGGAGCGGCCCCATCACTGCTCATTCCCTGTCTGTCTTGAGTTCCCACACCTTGGAGGTGTTAGGGCCTACTCGGCAGGGCTCCAATCACTGCTAGCTGGCCTGATGGGAGTACATACTCTTAGGCTACGCTTCGTTACCCAAAGCGAGCCTAAGGGGCGTAGCACTATGAAGTAGAATTGTTAGTTACCTATTGTAACTGTAGTTCTACGAATAGTGCGTAGCCCCTTAGCTACGGGCCCATCAGTCCAACCTGGCTTTGGCGAGTTCAAAGTGAAGAGCATGGACTGCTGTGGGCTATTTATAGGAGGTTCTGCACAGTGATTGGAGCATTGAGTTCTCTCTGGCGGGAAGCTGGTGCTTCTGGAGTCATACCCAAAGCGAGCCTAAGGGGCTACGCACTATTCGTAGAACTACAGTTACAATAGGTAACTAACAATTATCACATTAAATAGCAGCATTGATGGTGATAGGCGACAATGGCATGTTATCCATGACTAATTTGCTCAACTCAAGAAAACAACCATAACATTTAATTACGTACAAAATGTGAAGCCAACATGTAATTAGACGTTAGTATTGTTATGTTTTTTTTTTTTTTGCGAGTCTTTCATTACATTTCTTCTCAAAGGTATGAAAGAGGTTTTCCCAATTTTCATAGGAGAGAACCGCCCTCTCCACTTTTTGAACAAAACTCTCCGGTCTTATTTGACGAGCACGAATCACCAGAATGATTGACAGTTGGGAGGACCAATAGTCTTGATGATCCACCAGGAAGTAGAAAATTATCCTATATACCTTCAATATTTGGTATAGATTGGATATACTTTTCTAATCAGAAAAGAATATCCATGTCATTTATAAAGATACCTTCAAATCATGAAAAAGTAATAAATGAAACCCACTTATTCTTTCGGCCCCTGACCAGCCCTTTTTGATTTTTCATTCGGCCCGCAACCAAAATGAGTTTGACACCGCTGGTCTAAACATTTACATTTTAGGCATCTTTTAGTGAATGTGGTGGTTCAATTCAACCCAAGGTTAGCACAAGAGTTAAGGACTGTGGTCATTCTGCTCCTGATGCACCAATGGCTCAATGTGTTATTTTTGCATTTTCTATGTTCTAACTGTTTGATTCTCTCTCGGTTGTTTGCATGCTGATTAGAGAAAGACAAAAAAAAAAGTTGTTCTAAGAAAGGCTGACGATATGATGCCATAACTCTGATTCTGCGTCGCTAAAGCTGTTATTCCTCTTGCTTCGTTACAGCGTCAGACATTTCCTGCAGTAACGTCAGGTCATTTTGCAGCTAATTTCCGCCGTCGGAGCTTCGTAGACATAAACAAAACAGTTGAATGTGTCGCGTTTCATGTAATAGTTCTGAGGTTTTGGGTCGCCGGC